TACCTGTCCAGAATCATCTGGTTTGCCATTTATTCAAATCAATTAGGGGAGAGTGGGGCAAAGCGGCCACCCGGGGCAAAGCGGCCACCCATCGTTTTAGCCCTTCATAGCTGGCGTCAGTTACAATTTATGGTTTCCAATTATACTTCTCTTCACGGTCGTTCGAATGACCCAGACCGGGTTTCAGGCCCATCACCAATGTTCTGTGAAACACGGAAAAGCATTTCTTGCCAGGTTACCAACTATGTTTACAAAATTTAAATGTTATGTTATTCCATAACCGTGTGGAATTTTTATAAGCGTTCTTGTCCATGCATGGCATGGTTATCGTACATGTTATTCTACCAATTTTAATGTTTTTTACCCCACTAATAGCTAAGCTGAAATATTTTTGTCTCGGACGGTATGCGCGGGGCAAAGTGGCCGGGGCAAAGTGGCCACCCCCCAATTGACCATAACTAGTTGCTTCCATCTGGATAAAAAACGTTATTTATATTCAAATGTGTCGTCAGACGTCATGCATTCATCTTGGCCACTTTTCAGTTGCATGAGTTACCAAATAATGCAATTGAATGTTTATTTTCATGAAAATCCTTTCTTTGTTTACCTACAGGTGGAAGATGATAAAGTAAACATCCATCCTCGCTTAACCTTGTCACCATCAAATACCCTAGTCGTACACGAGGCAACTACTTTGTTTCTCATATCGGGACTTGAGAAGACGCCGGTGGCCGCTTTGCCCCAGGGTATGGGGCAAAGTGGCCAATATGCATAGGTTTAAAGTTTTGTCAATATCTTTCATATGTGAACGCCTTTGGAAATAAAACGCAGTTGAAATAAAAGGCAACTTAATAGGGATCACATTGGTATAGAAAGAATCTTTCCAAGTTTAAAAATCAAGCGTTGGCATCGTGAGAAGCGTTAGGGTGGCCGCTTTGCCCCACTCTCCCCTAGTTCAGAATTCGTGACGCTTTGGTCCAGAGAGCTCACATAAATGGTAGAGCATTATTTTAGGACGATCCTTTTACCGACAGGTGGCTGGCTACCTTGTGTTCTCAAACTTTGTGCTGGAATCGCGACCCTGCGAGAGAAACAACCGGTCTTCGCCTGTCTATTACCCGCGGAGAACGTTCAGAACTGGCAATGTGGCGGTTGCGATGGAGGGAGGTGCCGCAGCGTCTCTTGGGCCTGTGTCCACTGCGGTGCTAAGCTCCAGTGCAACTACTGTGGAAGACTCGGCGGGCCCGGAGCCGGTCGCGGAGACGGCCGTGCGCTCCCTCTTCCCGCCGACGTTCCTGTTTCAGCTGGAGAAACTCGGGTGAGTTGGACGGTCTGCAGCTGATCCGGGGCCGACAGTCCTAACAACCGACAGCGCAGGCTCTCGCTGTTGGAACAGCCTGCTGTATGTAAGGGCGGACACTCACCATGAGAAGCTGGTGGTCAGACGTTGGACCCGGTAGTGACGGCGGAATCTATAGCTCGGGATGGTACTTTCTTTTGACTTGCAGATGACACGGCAGAAGAGGAGATGTGGGATTGTTTGCGAAGGATCCAGCCTGGAACTGGTGTTGGTGCCTGAGGCTGCTATTGGTGCCAATGTTGTTGGGGTGATCGATGACGAGGCAGCAGTTGCTGGTTGAGATGAGACTGGCACGGTTGGAAGCCTGCTGATCGGTTCCAAATTCCGGAGCTAGACTTCCACACTGCAGGCAACAGGCAGTGCAGTACTATCGGTTTTAAGCCGCTGTTTCATAGTCATCTTGAAGATCGTTTCATATGGTGGATACCTGCACATCGCTTTAATTCATATGCTTATGTCGAAAAGCTTACTTAACCCGCACTCCACTGGGGTCTGCGTATAACGCGCCCTACTGGGGGGGGGGGGCTATTCATAGCCCCCCTTCTAACTCCCAAACTACTGGGCCGATCGTCCAAAGTCAAACAGTGTCTGATAGCCCCGGAAAAACTGTAGGGCGAAACCTAATTTCATTGACCTCAAGGTCGCCGATGACGTCACAGGTCAGGTCAAAGTAAAAATTATCGATGTTGGGCTCATGTTCACACTTTGGGCTCTGGCCGCCGGCTTACAATTCATATCAAGCTTTGGTTTACACTTTCGTGAATAGATGCTTAAGGTGCCCTGAGGGTACCAAACTTGTTCTTTGATTTTCAGGTCAGGGCCAGGTCGTCCCAGGTTACGGACATCCTATACCTATCATTCATCGGTCACGGTGACACATGTTTTAGTGTCCTTTTAGGCCATAGATTAACCCGCGCTGTGCTGAGGGGGGAGGGGGAGGCGTTTTCACTGGTGGTGTCAATTTCAGAAAACGTATGTCCAAAATCCGTCCAATGTCCAATGCTTACGTCGACTGTCCGTCCAAAAATGTCCAAGCCAGCCATTTGTCCAAAGATGTCGGACACCTACGCAATAGTTTACACTCAACACTGTTATTTAATTTCCTTTTCGTGTACCGTTACCAGCTCAAAAGTGTTATTGAATTAAAATCTGAGCTTTCTAATAGCCAATCAATGTTAACCTTCCAGGCGGTGGGGGGATTTTTTGCCCCCCCCCCTAGTTTTTTCAATATATCTCGAGAACCGCTGCGCCGATCGTCACCAAACTTTCAGTACCCTCCCGGGAGCAGCTAGCGCACATGGTGACCAAAATTTTTTTCCAAAGGCTATGATATGTTGGCCGCTAATGACGTCAGAGTGACGTCATTTTTGCCATTTTCGACCCAAAAAAAGGTTTCGCGGGAAGAGTTGTGAGGCCTACAGCTTTAGAGATACAGAAAAATGTTTCAGACATAAAAGGTGTGGAATCAAGAGGGCTACAAAACTGCAATTTCGGTTTTTCGAACTTTATGGATTTTGACCCCCAAAAATCAAAAAATAGATTTTTTGAATATAATAGTCAAAAAATCCAAAAAGTTTTTTGAATTTCGAAAAAAAAAAAACGGAAAAAAATGTGTGATAGTCCCTACCGCCTTCTATCTACATACCCAATTTGAGATCGATACCTCTTTTTTTGGCCAAGTTATAGCGAAAAAACTGTTCAAAATTGATGACGTCAAATTTTCAAACTCAATTCTTAGCAATTTTAGACCTCCTAGCGCAAAACAAAGACCACCATTAGACTCCCCGTGACGAGCTGCATCGAATAGATACCCATTTTATGCAAAAATATCAACTTTGAAATTTGACCTTTTTTGACCTGACCTTGACCTGACCTCCACCGGAAAGTGACCTAAACCGTACCTGATGGTCTTATAACCAACACCATTGAGTTTAAAATGAAAAACTGGCCATAAAACATGCATCGCATAATCTTAGTAAAGTTCGGCTCATGTGGTGACCCTTGGTGACCTTTGGTGACCTGACCTGTGACCTGACCTGGTATGACCAGTGACCTCTAATAGCAACATATGTACTAGACAACTGACGCCTTATCGCTGATTTTCGACAAAATGCGTTTTACTCGGTGTTATAGCGCTTTCCCTAGAAGCCCCGTGAACGGTGAAACATTTTATCTTTGACCTGACCTGTGACGTCATCGGTGACCCCGAGGTCAATGAAATTTAGTTTCCCTCAACAAATTTGACAGGGCTATCGAACGCCGTTTGAATTTTCCGGATCCGTCCAGTAGTTTCGGAGATACGGGGGGGGGGCAAAAAATGCCCCCTTCCCCCACCGCGCGGAAGGTGGCTGGTAGGCCCACCGCCTGCCGGGTTAAACACGATTACTTTTATAACCCTCGCATGTGTGCGGCGTTTGCCAGCTTCTAATGTGTAGGGGGGGGGGGGGTCGGTTGGACCCCCCTTGCCGTTTGGCCCCTGATCGAGCTAGAGCTTCGCGGAAAAAACGAGCGTGTTGGACGTGACGAGAGGAAGCCGATGATACCCAATTTTAAGGTCCTAGGTCATTGGTTGACCTTCCAGGTCAGGTCAATGACCGAAAATCGGGAAAATCGAGACCTGTTAGAAAGTCGTAAAGTGTGGCTGCCAAGGGGTTTTTCGGGGTGCTGATCACGAATATCGTGTAAGTTTAGGTCACAGATAATGTCTTTAAGCATTTAGACCAGGTCGGGTCAGGTCAGGTCAGGTCAACCAGTAGGCGTCGTGACGGGTATTCGTAGTACGTGTCAACCGCCTCTGACAGCTTCGTAACATGTTACGAAGGCACCAGAACTACTTCATAAATATTCAAATGGTTGCTAAATTCGAATTCAGCTCCAAAAACTAGCCTAGAAACATGTAAAACTCGAAAAAGTGAGCCAAGGTCACTGACCGAGGTCAAAGGTCAATGACCTGACCTCACCTTCAGGTGACCTTGATATCCACCCTAATGCATGGGAGCAACATCAAATCACATGTTTGAACGTTTGAAGCCACGAAAAGCTTGCAAACGCGCGGCTAATGCGAGCCGACATACGCGGAATCGCGATTCCGTCCAAACATGGTCTCGGAAAAGAGGTCACAGGTCAAAGGTCCTTTGGGTCAGGGTCATGAAATTTTCAGGGTAGGTGTAAAATTAATCAATGCGAGGGTACTGAAAGTTTCATTGCGATCGGCCGCTTTTTCGCGAGTTATTCGTGAAAAACCATGGGGGGTCCATCCGACCCCCCTACACATGCGAGGGTTAAAATGTTGAGGTGAAGCAAGCGATTGTCCAAAGTTGTCCAAAGCCTGCTGCCATTGTCCAACCGAATTCCGAATTGGACATTGGACAAAATAGGAATTCCGAAGATTCAAATTCCGATTGACACCACTAGTTTTCACACCCCTCTTCCCCTCAGGTTTCTCGCGAATAGGCATATCAAAAACGGCAGCGTGCAGAAAACGGACGATAGACCGGTTAAACGGTTGAACGGAAAGCGTGACGATTGTTGTGATCTGGTCACCTGACTGGGGATCACTGAGACTGAAAATGAAGGAAGGTATATAGTCTGTAACGACTTGATTTGTATCTAGGTACTGGAACGGTCCTTTCACCGACAGGTGGCTGGCTACCTTGTGTTCTCAAACTTTGTGCTGGAGTCGCGACCCTGCGAGAGAAACAACCGGTCTTCGCCTGTCTACTACCCACTGAGGACTGTGAGCGCCGCCATGGGTGGTGAGCGTGGCTTCGCGGTAGCATCAGCAGATGGTGCTGTGCGTGAGTTCGCAGAAATTGCACAGAAAGCAGACAGTTCAGCTGTTTCGGCAGACTCGGCGGGCCCGGAGCCGGTCGCGGAGACGGCCGTGCGCTCCCTCTTCCCGCCGACGTTCCTGTTTCAGCTGGAGAAACTCGGGTGAGTTGGGCGGTCTGCAGCTGATCTCCTGCCGGGGCCAACAGTCCTAATTGACGCGGGGCCTGCTGTAATAGCGAATACTCGCCATGGTGAAGCTGGTGGCGTTGGTCGAAGTAGACAAAGGATGTGGTACTGGCAGCGACAGCATGCCGTCCTGTGGTCCGGGCCACTATTTTCGACTGAGGACGACCTGTGAGATAGGACTTTGCTCAGGGGACAGGTGCACTCTGCAGCAAACCCGCCCACGCGGACTGCAGTGTGCACAGTGCACAGAGATATGGTACCTAATACCTATACTGTTGGCGCGGCCGGCGGCCGTGGGCAGGGGCTGGAATTGGTGACAGGTGGTGGCTCACCAATTGCATCCAATTTGTTTCAGGCGGTTGATATTCAGCTGCTGCCGTTGTTTGTTGATACTTACAGTTGGTAAATATTCATCTCTTTCCAGAGCTGACGTTTTTGACTACGTAGCTCGCTTCTACTGTACTCGTGGCTGCATATACTACATCCATGCTGTAGGCTCTATGTAGTTGACTGTTCGAACTGAAGATCTATTTGTTTTGGAAATGGTTGGTCATTGCTGATAGGAGTGCTACTACATACTCGCAGCCATGGCTGCTGCTGATGTCCATGGCAGACCAGCTTCAGCCTCATGCCGCCAAGTCATCAACTTGCACGTCTACTACGAAAGGAGAGACTGTACTCCTTTCTCTCCACTGTCTTAGACGAAAACTATCAAATGAACCCATCGGTGACTCAACTCTTACTCTGAGCAAGAGTCACTTCGCAAGGTCAGGTCACTGCTGAGTTGAGAGCATGCAAAGGTACGCATTCATCCAATATTGCCGCTTTTAATCCACGCCGTGCTGGGGGGGGGGGGTTACGCCCCCCCCCCCCCAGGTCTTTCGCGAATATCTCAAAAAACGACAGTGTGCAGCGCCACCGTTTTTGGTACACCTGTTCATATATCATTTCCGCACATGTTGTGAACATTTCAGGCCCAGGTCGTTCAAGGTCAGGTCACCAGGTCACGTCAAGTGACCTTACCTCAGAAAAAGTTCAAAGGCTCGCCCTAGCTACACCAACTGAACGATCACTTTAAAACTTTCAGCGATTGATATGAGTAACAGTATGTATAAAATGTATATCTCAGATTTTTGATATATGTGACCTAAGGCCAGGTCAATTTTGCGACCTCTCCATTGCGATGTCATGTCTCCATGTCAATGCGAGAAAATTGAAATGCGCCTCTTTTGGACGAATGTCGTTCAAAACGCTCTCAAACATCGGTTCATACGGAAACATGACACACTGAATCGGAAAAATGCACCTGTGACACCTCTGTGTGCCCCTGAGGTCATCTCAGGTCATGAACGGTCACCAGCAGTTTTTTTCTATAACTTTTGATAGCGACGTGCTAGAGCGGTGAAAACCGTCAGATGTGTTCAGCTCGGCGATACGGATCGACTGATATGCAGCATGACCCTTTCGGTCAGGTCATGACCTTGACTTAAGGTCAAATTTTCAAAATTACCTTTTAAGGTCAACAACTACTTCATTCGACGCGTCTTGAAGAGAGGAACACAATGCTGCCAAAAGTAATGTAGTGGCTCTCTTGAGTTAAACGTTATTGCCGAAAAAACATTTTTCGTGAAAACGGCTATTTTTACAGTTTTTACCCTCTGAAGGCTAAACTGTTGACCTGAGGTCAAATCTGAGGACATTACACAGAAAGATCTGTAAAAGGGCTATCGAATGCACTTTACCGCGGCGCTGTAGCTCTGTTGGTTTTCAAGTTAGCCGTGGACTACATTTGTCCTTCGATGACCTCTGGTGACCATCCATCGATTGCATCTAAATTATCAGGGTGCATACTGCATACGTATGAAGATGAGGCTTCAAAGAAGGGTGTATTTGTGTTCCTCTCTATCAGACAACTCAAATAGGCCTTTTATGTCATATGTATTCGTAGTATTTTTTTTTTAAACTTTGGCTTACGGTTTTTATCATTTCAAAGTAGAAAATTAGTACAACATTTGACGTGCATTGATGTTCTGAGCTTTTTTCCTGTTTCGCTCTATCTGTAGCTGTAGGTACTTGAGGGAACGCAAGAAATAAGTCAAAAAACGTTTCCGTGGTTCGGGATAGTTTGCATACTAACACCTGCCCGTGATATAAGTCAATTACACGCAATTGATTACCTAGATTATGTAATCCTACCTTATTTATTTCGCATCGAGTGTGAACAAATAATACCTACCTACCTACCAATCCTTCAAAATTCTGCAATTCGCTCCTTTTATCTCTGATCAAAATTTATACAGTTTGGAATATTTAACTTCAAACAAGTTATTCGAAGCTTATGTTATCAGGCATCAGCTTCACTTCGATCTGCGGGCCGATTATGATCCACCCACGCTGCGTACTTGAGGACGCTTCCATGGCAGTTTGTAGCGGCACTGCAGCTTGGGCTGTTTTGCCGCCAGCTGGCAGGACTTCTGCCACTTTCAAACCTGGTGCTGGAGAGCAGACCTTGTGAGAGGGACCGGCTGTCTAGCCGGCGGCCGCGCGTCTACCGGCGTCGCGTGCGCCGCTTCCTGCGGCCGGTCGCGGCACGCCGCACGGGCCGGGCGCTCGACGCCGACGACGACGACGCCCTCACCTCGCCCGCGCCGCCAGTGCCGACGCCGAGCACTGTGGCGCCGTCTGGGCCGGCCCCCCGCCCTGCCGGACGGACGCGCACAGAGGCGCGCTCACTTTTTCCGAAAACATTTCTGTTCGAGGTACAGAGCCTTGGGTAAGTTTCATCACTGGTTGGCAACCGTCACTTTATAGCATGTACTCGTATGCGCTGCGGAAACGGTATCAAGCGTTGATTGGATCATGGATGTGTCTTCTCTCTGACAATATTTATATTTACGAGTGCTGTGCAAGGCCATGCATGGTGGTGTGTAGGGTAGCCTGGGGCAAGACGCCCCAGATAATTTATTTTGCTACATAAATTTTGTCCCACATCACCTGGAAGGCCAAATTTGTGCTCAATGCGTTCTTTGGACATTTTACTTTAAATTGCACCCCTCAAATTCATTCACTTATGATCGGACTTCAAGCTAGGAAGTGATTTGTGAAGCAACTGCAAATGGGGCATTTTGCCCCAACCCCAGGGCAAAACGCCCCACGGCCTGGGGCAAGTAGCCCCATACTTTAGATTAAAGATTTAACCCGCGCGGGGCTGGGGTCTCCAGCCGAACGCGCGGGGCTGGGGGGGGGTAAATTTTACCCCCCCTGTTATCTCCCGAACTAATGGTCCGATTTGGAAAATTCAAACGCCAATCGAAAGCTCTCATCACGAACTACTAAAAACATGTACTTAATTTAAAGTTTGAGGTCAAGGTCAAGGTCAGGTCAAGGGTACAAATTGCAAGTTTCTACAGTATCGGCCTTGCACCGTAGTTGCCGAAGAATGGAGTCATGGACTGAGACTGATCGCCCAAAACGTGTTCTTAGGCTACCAAGACAATATTCGTTGCATACAATATCATTCAGAGGTCAAGGTCAAGGTCAGGTCAGGTCAGGTCAGGTCACCAAAAAACAAAATATAGAAAAGGGCATGTGCGACACATGTTTTATGGGTCATTTTACTCATAGAATTAAATAGGCACACTCAGTAAGTGATATGGACCACCTCTGGATGAATTTCAGGTCGAGGTCAGGTCAAGGTCAGGTCAAGTGAGGTCAAATTTTGAAGTTGGCTGTTAAGGCCTAAAAAGGTGTCTATCTGATGCAGTTTTTCACGGCGAATCGAATGGTGCTATTTTTGTTTCCGTACGAGGTCTAGAACTTCCAAAAAAGTCATTTTTCAAAAAAATTGTGTGTCGTGACGTCATAAAATTTTGAATAACTCCCACATTTTTGAACCGATTCTTCTAAAATTTGGTATGTAGGTGCACATAGACCACTTCTCTGATATATATTCCGGTTTTTTCGATAGACTCAAAATTTTGGATTTTATAATGATTTTCCCAAAAAAGTCAGTTTTTTGAAAAAATTTAGACCAAAATCCAAAATTTTCAAAAAACCGAGATAGCCATTTGATAGACAAAGTAAAATTACGTATAACCTTTTTTGTTACGTCTTGATTCCTTTACAAATGAAGATGTTAGCGGCGTTTGAACTTTTGCCGTTTTTGAGGCGAAAATGGCGAACATGACGTCACTAAAACGTCAATTTCTCAAAAATTTTCCGACGGATTTCGCTCAAATTTTCAGGGAACGTGTCAAATTGATGTAAGAAAAGGTACTGTAAGTTTGGCGGCGCTGCGCGCCGCCGTTTTTTAGATATCGCAAAAATTCGCGAGGGGGGGTAAAATTTACCCCCCCCCCCAGCCCCGCGCGGGTTAACATGGTAGTTGGCTAAATCTTATGTTAGAGGTCCGTTAGACCTCTGGAGGCACGGCACTGAAGTTAGCACATTCCATCCTGTCAGGTGTTCAGCTATGACACTATTGTACGAGCAGGTTTTTCACCTATCTCATAAGACCAAATAATAAATTATTGCAATGCAACGGTTAACAAAATACTTCCTTTGCCATCCAGTTGCTGAGAAAAATACACATAAAGGCACAGAAACTTACTGTTCGCCAGCTACCGAACATTAGAAAGTGGGTAGCCCGAACAACACATGAGGTAAAACGCCCCAGGGGCTTTTTGCCCCGCGACCTACTGGGGCGTTTTACCCCATCACGTAGTTCGGTCAGAGAACAACGCCTTGCACTCCAGCAAGACGTAATTTAACACAAACCAACCCGGCATGATAAGCGTTAGACAATAGTTGTTCAAAATACATAAAAGTCGTTAACCTGATGTGGACCATAAAAGAACGCCATGATACATAATCTGACAACAAAAGATAAAAATCACTCAAAAAACACATTTTTGGCTATATCTCCCGAAAGAGTCATCACAATTTCTTTCCAGTCTGCTCATATAATGGTCATATAGTGCACGTTTTGTAGAAGAGATGATGTTTCCCCAGAACTCTGCCAGTTCCGAGAAACATCGGTGAGGCGTTTTACCTCGGCGGGGCGACTTGCCCCGGTCTACCCTACAACTAAATAGTTGCTAGAGAGATTCGTGTGGCCCTTCTCCATATACCTCGTACCAAGACATTTCACAAGAACGTCTGCGACTCTACAAGTTTTCGGAAGCTTTCGTTCGTTGCGGCAACAGAACACCGTACATAATCGGAGATATTTTCGACTGTCTGCCTCCACACCATCGGACCGGTGCTGTTTCTTCAAGTGAAGGGATCGTTTTGCTTGCTGGGTTTGGATATTCTCCATATTTTTCTCCACCAGAGTTGCGCTGCATGCTCTTCGACTGAGGTGCTGAAGTTTCCTGTGGTGTCGCGTCCCGTCTCCAGCAGTGAGAAGTCTCAACTCTTAACGGTTATAATATTGGCCCGTCGTACCTATGTGCTTGTTGTAGTGCTCAAATGAATATAGCCACTTGTTGATAACCAGCAGGTAATAGGTATGCTATATACCTAGTGTCGTGTTATCTGTAGCTACTGGAACCTGCCCTTATCTTAGCCAGATCAAGGGTTGAGTTAATTTGTGCACGAAAGAAATGACTTGTAGTGTTCCAGAAGCATGCGTTTAATATTACATCGTTTTGATTTGTGTTGCGAATTTGGTGGCTTTAATTCATGCCCATAACAATTACATGTTGTATATGCTTTTTTATGAATTAGATCGATTAGGTGCGTAATCACTTCGTCCCTGTGTCTCGCTACTCGTATCTCTTGTGGCATTTGTGACTCCCTCCATCCCTGTCCTAATATCTCCGTCTGTTCCTTTGTCAAGACGCTGAACTTTTATCCGCGTCCTTCCGTCGCTGCGCCCCTCCCAACGATTCCTTCCATCTGTGTATCTCTCCGTGTCCTTTCGTCTCTGTCTCCTCTTCTGTGTTATTCTGTCGCCGTCTGTTGGTGCCTTCCCGCCGCTCGGCTGAGTACTGAAGCCCCGGCTGTGCACAGGGTCTCGGGCCGCAAGGATATCAGCACCACGATGCCGGATACCATCACCAGCTGGGTGGCGTCGGCCTTCTGCAGCGGACTTCGTGTAAGTGCAGCTGGCTACCGGGTCCGTGGGAGAGGCTCGGAATGTGTTAATTGTGGTCATTCAAACTTACTGTGGCGAGTGATGTTTCACAAATCTGACTTTGGAGGATCGAAATCCGAAATTCGACTTGAGAGTGAAGTATGTGTCTATATCGGCTATAAATCATGTGCGTTTCTCTTTTTGTCTACCACAGAGCGGCTTTGGCCTGTCTGATACGGCAACTATCGTCACTTTCAAGCCGTTCTTCGCTCAGATCCAAGTACCGTACTCGGTGAAACGCGGCGAGCTGCTGCGTCTCAAAGTCTCCGTCTTCAACTTCCTGAGCTCAGACCTGTCGGTAAGTTCCTGGATCAGCCTGGTGGATGACATGTCCGCAGATACTGGGTGCAGAATGCTGCTGTGACGCGCTGTCACTGACGGAACACCGCTGACGCTGAGACCCTGTCTGACCGCACGATGTCGCTGGGACTTGTTGTAGATGGTAGTAGGATACTGACGCCCCTTGTGGTTGATCGCAGCGGGCAGGACTGTGTCTGACCTCCCTGTCTCGCGTATTGCCAGGTGGCGGTGGTGCTGGCTTCGTCGACAGACTTTAGTGTGGCGTCGGGGGGCAGCGGCAGCCAAACCGTCTGCGTTCGCGCCTCCAAGCCCTCAGTAGTGGAGTTCCCGCTCGAATTCAGCACTCTCGGCAAGGTTGACATTACCGTATCGGCCAGGACGAGTGGCTCAGCCTGTGGCTCTTCCAACCAGGTCCAGGCCAGGTGGGTGAAACGTATGTACTTACCTCGCATGGCTCATCGTTATGCGGCCACTGGGACTAAAATGGCGGACGAGACAGTTGAGGCCTGGAATGCGCGGCAACCGTAGCTGTTGACCTGACTGACTGCTGGCCCGGGTGTGTTTCAGTGATGCGCTCGTACGCAGCCTTATCGTCAAGCCGGAGGGATTCCCACAGGAAGAGGTCAACACCGCCTTTATCTGTAAGGAGGACAGCACGTCTCCGCCAAAGGAGGAGACTTTCGAGCTGGCCCTACCCAACCAATTGGTACCCGACTCCCAGCGCGCATGGGTCAACATCGTGGGCGACCTGATAGCTCCTTCTGCAGAGGTGAGGAGTCGCTGTAACACAGCTCAGCGTCTAATGGGTTGAATGGCACCGGAAAAATAAGTGCTCCTTCTTTCCCCTAAGAAAGCAATGCTACATTTAAACAACAAAACAAAGAATGATCAATCGGCCTTAGCTGTGAGTGGTTTACCAACATTTTCTTATTAACGTTTCTTGAAACTTAAAAAGCATTCGCTTATGACCGTCTTTACCTTGGTGGGTTCATTTCAGTGAATACTGAATACAGGGAGGTACCATTGTTTTCCCCGCCTGTGCTGACGTGTGCCGTCATTGGCAGAACCTTGAGCGTCTGGTGCGAGTGCCCACCGGCTGCGGCGAACAGAACATGATCGGCTTTGTGCCCAACATCCTGGTGCGCCGCTACCTGGAAGAGGTGAAGCTGCTGACGGAGAGCCTGAAGGACCGCACCACGGCCAACATGCGGACAGGTCAGTGACATGTCTCGCACGCAGCTCGATGGCGTGTGCCACCATTTTTGATGATTTGTTAATCTGTGTATTCCATCGCGTGCTAAAATTGTAGCTGAAACGTACGAACGCATTTTAACAGTAATATCTGTGTGCGTGTGTTTCGTAACGCCTGAAAAAAAATAACTAGGGGATTTTAAATGCATCAGGTACGCTGATCGAAGTCCGACGGGACGTTACGTGCTGACCGTGGCCGTGTCCCTGTCTGTCTGTGACTGCAGGGTACCAGCGTCAGCTGCGCTACCGGCGCCGCGAGGGCTCCTACTCGGCCTTCCCGGAGCGCTCGCCGCCGCGCTACAAGGGCTCCCTGTGGCTGACGGCCTACGTGGTTCGCTCATACCTGGCCGCCAGCAAGTACATCGCCATCGACAAAAACGACGTCTCCATCAGCACATCCTGGATTGTCAAGCTACAGGAGAGCAACGGCGCGTTCAAAAGTTACGGCAACCTCTTCCACAAGGAGATGCGCGGCGGCGTGGGTAACGGCGCCGTGGAGGCGATGACGGCCTACGTGCTGCTGACGCTGCTGGAGGCCAATGACCAGCCGGCGGCCGCCAAAAAGGCCGTGGACTTCCTGCTGGCCTCTAGCACATACAACACCCTGTACGCCGAGATCCTGGTGGCGCACGCGCTGGTGATGGCCGGGAAGACGTCCGAAGGCAGCAGTCGGGTGCAGACACTCCTGGCCAAGGGCACACGCCGCGGCGGACAGCTGTACTGGAAGGGAGACCGCACCAGCAAGTACGGCGGCAGTCGCGCGGTGGACATCGAGATGACATCGTACATGGCGATGACGCTGCTCAAACTGGGCGGCTCGTCGAACCTGGGCGAGGCCGCGCTGGCCGTGAAGTGGATCAGCGCCCAGCGCAACAGCCAGGGCGGCTTCGTGTCCACCCAGGACACGGTGGTGGCGCTGACGGCACTCACCGAGTTCGCTATCGCCACCTACTCGGAGAGCACGGCCGTCGACGTACTGGTCACGGCCTCGCCCAGCTACCGGTACAGCGTGCAGATCACGGCCGAAAACCGGCTGCTGACACGCCAGGACTGGCTGCCGCAGCCGCTCGCGCTGCCCAAGAAGGTGACGTTCTCGGTCAGCGGACTTGGCTGCGCCGTCGTCCAGTCGGTGTTCCGCTATAACACCAAGGTGGCCTTCCCCGACCCCAAGTTTAACCTGAAGGCCGTCATCACCAAGGTGAAGAGTTCCTGCTCGTTCACGCTCAACATCTGCACCAGCTTCAAGGAGCCCAATACAGAGAGCAACATGGCCATTGTCGAAATCGAGATGCTCTCTGGATTCGTCACCATTGACAGCAGTCTGAGAAAACTGGAAAATGACAAGGGTGAGAGCCTACTTTGACTATTGAGAGTGGCACTATAGTGTTTGTTTCTTTTTGCTTACACTTTTCCGCTCCTAATTGAATACTTAGTAACTAAAAGTTTGGGAGAAACTGCCAGTGGCGGATCCAGGGGGGGGGGGCAAAATGGGCATTTGCCCCCCCCCCCCCCCAAACGGCATGATTTTAACATTACGCCTATGGACGATGCATGGAAAGAATCGATAAATTTATATGGTTTGCCCCCCCCCCCAAAAAAAAACTATGAGCTGGATCCGCCTCTGGAAACTGCTGCCACACGAATTCAATTGTTGCACTATTTATATTGTCTACATAGTTACTGATAGTACGTCAGTGTTGGTTTGTAACCGATACCTAGTAGTTATATGGGTAGCTAGTAGCTACGAGTAGTATATGACGGCAGCGAATGCGCTAATTTTCGAGCATCAATAACGCAATACTAAAACGTGTGTCATGAATCATTATCAATGTTGCATATATAGTAACAAAACATTTTCCCGACAGTTATTGAGCGCTGGGAGTTCAACGAAGGCAAGGCTAGCCTCTACTTTGATGGGTTCACTGATAAGGAGGTCTGCTTCGACGTGCGCTTCATCCGCGCTCTCGAGGTCGAAAAGCTGAAGCCGGCCGTTCTCCGAGTGTACGACTATTACGCCCATGAGGACAGATTTGAAGTGGTAAGTATTATTTCCAATCATGACTTTTCCCGTGACATCAAAAGGAAGAACTTAAGTCGGTTACAAAATCTCAGATTAGCCGGATAAAGCTGGTTACAATACTTGAACTCAAAGCTCGTCTCGCTGGTTCTCTTTTGTTCCAGAGAACATTTATTTCATCATGTGACTTGTGCGTAAAATTAAATGGATGAGACCTTCTTTGCTGAATGTTGTTAATAGTTTGAAAGACAGTCCACGCTTGTTTTAAACATCTGCCTATTTCTTTGTCGTGTTTACAGACATATGGCCCGCCTGAATGTCCGTGATAAAACATGATGCGGAAAGAACAGATCCCGGCAACGGCGGATACGACGGCTGGATTTGACGAAATCGAGCATCTTTGGTGTGATAAGGTTATTTACTGTTGGATAATGTGCATTTACGGAATAAGCGCCTGAGGTCGTGTAGTTGTGTTTCCTGTATAAAAACAAGATCATTACATTTCTCTTTTATCAAATACGCAAGATGATTGAGGGTAACAATCCGAATAAATTGAGACAAAAAGTGGTGTTTTGCAGAAAATCCATCGAAAAACGGCATTAAGTGACAACTGTCTGCTCCGCCCATCTGGCTGGGTAACCCTTTTCTGCATGGTGTTTTTGCATGAGAGCGTGATATGCGTGGGACAATGTTGTATTTGCTACCCCAAGGTAAGGTCCGATCATAACACATCGAGGAGTCGGAGAAATGACGTTTTACGCCCCCCCCCCCTTCCCTTTTACCATGGCCACGACACGCGGCAAACATCGCTCGAAAAGTCAAAAAGACATTTCGAAGAGTAGAAAGTCTTCAGTCATTTTAAGGTCAGATCCGATCAGGCCACCAGAGGTCATAAGAGGTCAAAGTTGCTCGATTACCGGTGTTAGACAAAATCAGAAGCGGCGGAACACCTTCAACTAAGGGGGGGGGGGGGCACTGCCGACTGTTGGTCCCATTCTTTCCATGCAACGCCATAGCGCTAATGTTAAAACACCAAAATCAAAGGGGGGTACGGTGCCCTGGTGCCCTACCCGTTCCGCCGCCCATGGACAAAATGTCTCTTTTTCCTTTTTCACCCCTCTCCTTCCGGTCTCTGTCTCTCGCACTCCTCTCGGCGTCTCTCTCCGTCGTCGTTCGCCGTCTCCTTTTTGTCAAGGTCTCCGGCACCGCCCTTTCCGACGAACAGCCCGACGAGCCGCGATGTCCAAATACTATTCTTGGTGATAAATAATACAAGAATTGCGTTTGGACAATCATAACTCATTGGGCCTTGTGGAGAGCGGTACAGCCGGTTTGTGTCAGAGCGCAGGATGGACCGGACCGGTGTCCATCCGTTGGAGCTCGTCCCGTCGCGGTCAGCTCGACCTCCCGCTGGTGGCGGTCGTATACCACACCGTGGCCGGTCCCGTACACCCCTTCCAGCGGTGCCGTGCCCCGCGGCCGGCCGCCGTGTCGTCCGTTCCGCGCCGGTGCCAAGTCGTCGGCGCCGACGCCGGTCATCTCCTCAATTAGCCAGATTAGTCGGGGCCGTGTCCGTCGCCAGAGAAAGGGACGCTAAGAGCGATTCGGCGCGGGGACAGCACACCAATCTGTCCGTGCCGGCCAGGGGACGACATGCCCGGTGGTGGAATTAAATACGGCCCGGGGGCTGATACCGAGACTGCAGTGATGGTCGGCCGTGCCGGGATCTGGCGGCTTCGGGACTGAATAACTGGGGGCTGGTCACAGATACATGATGCTGTCACTCCTTAGTCGGCTGAAATGCTCCAAATCGACATTTTTCCGGCTAGATAAGTCAGATGGAGGATGACTGTTCAGCCCCCTTAGTCAACGTTCGGGCGTGGGAAGGCCCAGGAGGGCTGGTGTTATAACAATGGCAATAAACTCGCACGCATAGTGGATAGTCCCACGAACCGTCTAACCGTCAAGGGGACAAACAGCTCTGATAACCCACGTTTAAGGGTCACCGTACTAGTAGATGGACCCACCCAGACGCTCGCTCGAGCCGGACACTTTCGTTCGCTGGGCACTACAGTCCGCTATGATTGTGTCCAGACAGCGATAAGTTATTACTTACCCGAACATATGTGCCTGAAGTGCTCACAGTGCGGCATTAGCTGCCGCAGTCGGCCGCCACAATAGACCGCCGCGCTCCGTCTGCTGGGTTTTGTCCGGGCCACCGGTCGCCGGCGACTCCGTGGTCGTTCGGAGCGAGTCCAGCTGCCGACCGCGCCGAGACGGTCCCCTTCGAAACCATACAGCGCTGCCGGCGCACGTGCGGCGCCACGCGCTCCTCCCTCCAGTGGCATGCATTCCGGTGCGCGCGGCTGAATCGGCGCGCTGCCGCCACCAGCTGCTTCATTCTTCTTCCCCAGACGGTCGACAAAGAGTGCTGATGCGTCTCGGCGGCGGCCGGCGCGAGGGGCGGCCGGCCAGGTGCGGCCAGCGCCGCCAGGTGACGGAGGGCGGCAGGGGCGTCCTTTGTCACCCGCCGGCACAGAATCGGATTTGTTAGCGCAGCGCGTGCGCGCCAGGGTGAGCTCGCTGCACTAGATCGGTGGGCGTGAGCCATTTCAACCAATTGGACCGATGATGGGACTGGAACAAACCGGGTCCGTTTATATTCATTAATTGGGGGAGGACAGTAGGAACAATGCCTCCGATCGTCCGTCCCCATAGGCTAATGTCACATCGTAAACAGCAACGTGCTCCACAAATGAAAACGCAGTTTTGTAGCAACTGTACACTCTCCATCACACTTTCGTATCCATATAGGGTTTATCACGGAGCGAGCGAAGCGAGCGGAGTCTTACGTAGAACCAGTATAACGCCTTATGGGGCGATTAACCCTCGCCCGCACATGCCATTTTCCCATCCTAGAACGCATATGGGGGGGGGGGGTTGCCACCCCCCGCGCCATTTCGTTCCTGTTGGAGATAGAGCTTAGCGGTAAAGACCAAAAAGATTCTTTGGGAAGAGACGAATCCAATGATACCCAGTTTTACCTTCTCAGGTCAGTCATTGGCCTTCCAGGTCAGGTCAAACTAAAAAATGTTGCTGTTTTGGGTCACCGTTGGATATCAAGTGCGCTGCTTATCAAATACCGATGACGATGCTGTTTTCTGGTGCCAAGCCAGCTAGAACCTCTTTGTCACACTACCCGACCAGAATTTTGCTGCTGAGGTCATTTCAGGTCAAGTTAGGTCAAGGTCAATTATATGTGTTTGTATGTCTGTGTGTGTCTGTGTGTATACTGATGTGTGCACCGATTGTTTTTGGGTCCATATCACATGAAATCATGATCTGAGAAGCTTTTACCAACAATGCAGTCAAAAAACTTCACAAAAAGTAAATTCAGCTTGCCTAAAACGCAATTATCTTAGATGACCTAGGTTGACCTTGACCTTGACCTTGACATCTGTACATCGTCGAACAACATGTTCCATGATAGGTGGGAGGTAAGACTGGCAAAAAGGCCGAAATCAGGGTGTCAAAAGCTCACAAGGCCCATAGCAAACGCAAGATGTTGAAAATTGGCCATTTGGGTCATGACATGACCTGAAAAAACAAGGTCATATCTCCGAAACCAAAAATTACAGAAACTTGAAATTTTCAGCGAACATCAAGAAAGGATAGACGAGCAGCTATACGAAAAATCAGCCTTCTAGGTCTAAAAATGTTGAGTGAAGAGCAGAAAGACTACCTGGGGGGGGGGTGGCAACCACCCCCCCCCATGTGCGGGCGAGGGTTAACGGAGCGAGCGAGAGGGTGGGCCTTGCACGTGCGAAATTGCGAGGGGGTACCTCCAACTGGCTTGTGCACGGCACCCTACTAACCGGTCTCTAGCGATGTGCCAAATTTGAGCACAATCGGCTCAGCCGTTCTCGAGATCTGGAAGCGGCACCCTGCATGCAGGGTTGTTGTGCTCGACTCATGAGTCGAGTCAGATATTTGACTCAACTCTGACTCAGATAAGTCAGGTTTGAGTCGAGTCGGATAAAATGTTGAGCTGTTGAGTTGAGTCAGAGTTGAGTCAGACAAAAATATTAAGGTGTTGAGTTGAGTCAGAGTTGAGTCAGTAAAATACCTTTTGACATTGAGTTGAATCAAAAACATGTAGGAACATGAGTCAGCTGACTCATCTTTCTAGAAGCAATATATAAGCTTTTCATTCTGCCCCGCTTAACAACTTAGGCCTGGCCCTGCTGCCGGATTTTTTTCACCCCCCCCCCCCCCCGCTCAACAACTTTTTATTTGAGTCAATTTTGAGTCAACACACTTGACTCAACATAAAAATTTGAGTCAAGTTTGAGTCAACTCATATTTTTTATTGAGCCGCTTGAGTCATGAGTCGAGTCAAGGGAAAAAATCAGCTCCTTGTTTGAGTCAGAGTTGAGTCAGCGCTTTCTGAAGTCGAATGATGAGTCGAGTCAGCAAATTTTTTTGAGTCGAGCACAACCCTGCCTGCATGTGCGCAATGGGTCCCAACTGACTTGTGCACGGCACCCTACTAACTGCTCCGTAACCGTGTACCAAATTTGAGCGCAATCGGTCCAGCCGTTCTCGAGATCTGGAATCGACCCCTGCACGTGCGCACGTGCAGCAGCACCCCAACTCTGGCACATGGATATGCATTGCCTAGTGGGTGCCTACCTACATGCCAACTTTCAGCGCAATCGGCCCAGTAGTTACCGAGATATTGCAACAATTACAAAAGTGACACCTCTTCGTTTTGCACGTGGCACGTGCATAAGGGGTCACCCACATGCATCGGGAATAATCCAATACTTGGTAGAAGGAATGAAGCTACCCTACAAAAATTACCGCATGTAAATCGGTCAAGTGGTTGCTGAGATATAAGCGTCGCAGAATCGTGACCACGGCCGGCCGGCCGGCCGGCCGCTCATACTCAGAAATTGTCGGCGGTAAGACAAGCAAAGGAGCAGTAATCGCCACGTGATCGCCACGGCAGTAAACGACACACAAGTGGAACGTGGACCACTCTGAAATGTTCAACACAACAACACGAGGGGGCGGTAGGTACGCCGGCACGGAGCGCCCGCGGGCCTAAGATTGCTGGTAGTGGGGTCGCTCGTGACAGCCTGGACACAATGGGGAGACGCCAGCAAGCAAAGGCGTGACTTACCGGATGCCCTTTCGCGTGTGGAGCGTCCCATCTCCGGGAGATGATCGCAGCGGCTTGAGCGCGCACGCACGAAAAACATGAGCGGCCGCCGTCTGACGTGCCACTCACGCACTGGAGGCGCCCGGCGGCCGGCGCAGTGTCCTCGCCAGGCCGGGCGGGCTGTGTTTGCTTACTCGACCGCTGGCGCTTATCTAGCCTCCAATTGGCGCCCGCACCCTCTGTGGCCGGCTCCCTCATATGCCGGGCACCTCCAGGAAACGGGGGGGGGGGGGCGGTTGCACCTCTAACGCCAAGCGTTAATGTATTTTGCACGGAACTGACGTGAAAAGACCATTATTCTACGTAAGACTTCGCTCGCTTCGCTCGCTCCGTAATAACA